TAGCCATAGCCTAAAATGGGAACTTCACACACTTCCAGTATTGGCCAACCAGCTAACAACAAGTTCGACAGTCAACCTAAACTGGCGACAAGGAAAACGGGCAACAAACACACCAGTCCTGATAAGGACAATATCTTTAAGTCTATGCTCGACAACGCAAAAATGTAATATAGTAAAAGCTAATGAACAACTCACTTAGTTTTTCATCACCCAACATCGAATCAACACTGGCACCAGCTTCAATGTCATGATTTGGATCCTACAAATCCCAAGTGGGTAGTTATTTAACAACAAATGAAAGCTAAAGATGAACAAATGAAATCACACACACCTGTGGTGGTCAATTACGATCATGCCAATCTTCATACCCATATCATCCCACGCGGGTATTTGAAGCAATGTTCCAACTAGATAGGGTTCATCTAAACTGTTGACCACATCAAAAGTGCCACAATTTGTCTGTGAAAATAGACGGCTGTGCAATAACACACTAGAGAAACGATGAATATCGCAGACGAAAAAATAAATCTAACTCGGATGGATCCTTCTTGCAACGAATGAATTCCACCAATATTTGGCCCGCAATCTCCAATATTTCGCAAATTTCGGAAATAGAGAAGGTCCAGTAATTGTTTCGACGGAGACACTGGAATATTCTGAGTGGAAAGCGCAAACGCGTACTGAAGGGCATGTCAGTTGGACTCGCACCACTTCCTGACCCACAAGGGGCTGCATGAGGCTTCCTGCTGCTTTTGGAGGAAGAACGATATCAATAACCTGATTTGACCTACTAAAGCAAACCATAATTAACAGAGCAATCTTTTGTCGGAGCGCAAGCTCATATTTCACCAACCTGTGTAGTTTTAGGAAGACAAAGAACCGGGAAAGATGCATTTGGCAAACACCGGCCGCCAATTACTGCCTGGTTAAGTTATAGTTCACAATCGGCCGAAAAAAAAATCCTCAATTTGTTGACTGACGTGCTAATTTGGATAGCATTCTAAGTAACAGAAGCAGCGTGAACAGACGGGTCGGCGGATCATAGGCAGGAAAAATAAGTGCTCTCCTTTAAAAGTTAGCTCAGCAAAACTGAATTTCAAAATTGTGCAGGGTAAAATTTTTACACGTTGTGGGGCTTACAAATATGAAAAATTATTTTTTGCCAAAAGGAGTGACATTCATCAACTTGACGCTCTCTGATATACCCATGCTGAACTTACTCAATATAATTTCCTTATAAAAGGCAATAATGCAAACATTCAGTATGAGAAAGCAAAAAAAGCTTTTTTACGGTTAACTTTATAAGGGTATTTCCATTCAGGTCGCAAAAATCCACCTTACAAATAAAATTATTCGAAAAGCATTTCCGCGTAAAATTACATCACAATGCAGGTACTGGTTCAGCCACAACGGAGAGTAAACTTTTTCGTATCCAATGCATATTTTGATTCCATTTGAAAACATGCGCATATTTATTACCACCACCTATGGCTTCCCAGGTACTATGTGCAGGGCGAAAACATATTTACTTAAGGGACTTTTACAGGCCTAATTAAAATGCGCTAACGGTAATACGACAGTGGTTTATCCCTCGGCATTGGCAAGGCGCCACTTTTGTGCTTTGAATTAGCCCCCCTGTACCTCGCTGGGTGGGCTGGCCTTTTGGGCCATGCCAATGGCCCAGATACCTTCTCTGCTGAATATATATTCTACTAGAGTATTTTGCCTTCTTTCGTCTTCAGGGAGTCCCAGAACGCCACATTTACGTCCACTTCGTTCTCTAAGTATTTTGAGCAACAGCGTCGACTCAGCCTTCGTCCAAGTCGTAATCAACCAAGGCAAAGTGAAAAACATGCATTGTTATTGCACCGTAAAATTAAGTGACTAGTGGCATTGCTAGAAAACCAAAACCGCTTCAAAGTTCCGCGCTTTAAAATGAGGAGTGAATGAGAGCACATTTTTTCTTCTCCTTAGCTTCGTGCATATCTGTCGCCTAGACCATCTTTTCACTTTGACTATCACAAATTTACTGGCGCTTAAGTGACCGACCGCGATATTTCAACCCGCACATTTGGATATTCTTGCACGTGAGGAGATAGTAGGTGACAACATCACCAGTACATCCCATTATGGGCTTAACTGCACATGTATACGCCAAAAAACCTACTTTACATCCTCTGCACCAATATTCAACTCCAATTTCAGAAGGGAAACTATCGAACCCACAAAGAGAAACTGACTCAGCGATCAGAATATGCATTTTGGGTTTAGGGTAGTAGCAGGAAAATAAGCAAATGTCGTAATCTTGGTGTGAGGAAATGCCACCTAATGCCATACCTTCTTAATATATTCTAGCAAAAGAGCTGAACATGAGACAGTGCTCTTCAAGCACCAGTCAATACAGAACAGTTGATTTGGACAGCAGTACGAGACCCGTCAAGGTCACCAAAATGGTTTTTTACTTTA